GGGGTGGGTGGGTTGAGCTGATAACGATAAGAATTAACACAGACAGCAGAGGCCGGACGAAAATCGTGACGGTCATCTTCTAAAGTCGCAATCAGTGTGGCCAGTCTATACGGTTACGCGTATTGTTTTCAATTAATATACACAAAGTTATCTTGTCTAGACTTATTGTTACCTACTATTAATTATTGTATTATTAAATTTTTACTGAATCTCCCGATGACAGCTACAGTGCACCGCATTGATTTATAAATGAAATTTTAAAGTAAAGCATTTAAAGTTTATTTATAATTCATCGGTTTTGGTCGGTTTGTATTGACACGACAGTTTAGCAGTTATCAACATCGGATACAAACAAAATATCAATATACTTTTACCAAATCTTAACAAAGTACTAATACTTGATAATACTAAATAATGATGAGAAACGTTTGTTGGGAAAATGGCGTCGCGATTTCGTTTACATTCTAAATGTACTTTCTGATTAGATCTATTCTGTGACGGGGAATGTTCCAGTTGTCAGAAAAATGATAAAACGACAAGCTCACTACAATGGAGTTGCCAACATTTTAACCAACCCTTTTCAAAAAAAAAAAAAAAAAAAAAAAATCGGGTCGTACAATAGTTTAATTCTCGTCGTTTTACACAACCTTATAATAAATATATTTTATGTATCCACATATCCAGTATCAATTTTGTAATCACTTTTCGTTTTCTTATTACAAATGTTCCACAATATTTTATTATTCGTGTTGTGTTTGTGGTTGTCGAAACCGCTAGAGCAACGCAACGCAACAATACAATGAAGCTGTGCTGAACTGGATATTTTGGATTAAAATGTGTACAAATGAATAAAAGCGTACGGACATGAATATAGGTCGTTGTTTAATTCGTTTAAAAATCGGGTCATGAAATAAAATAGATATTTATAGGTTAGTGGCATATAAAATAAATGGATCATAGCGCCAGACGTTACGTAATTATTACAGGAAAAAAAACACATTGAATATAACAAAAAAAAAAAAAAAAAAAAAACGATTGCGTATCTTCGCGGGACACCGGCGTATGACGAATACAATGTGTTAAAAAAATTTAAAACAACATTTTTTTTCCACGTCTTTCGTGTAACTGGATTTTGATTTGAACGTTATCACTGTGATATCGGCATTGTCGCAGGATTGTTGTGGCGTCGTTTTTCTAACGACCGGGTACTGCGCCCTCTGCGGGGGGCCGCGGGACGGTTTTTCCGGATTGTCCGAATCGTCTAATCGGGTAACGCACGTTTCGATTTTTATCGGCACCCCTGAAAAACGAAAACCTTAAACTCGCGTCCCGTCAGCAGTGGGCGTACGCGTTTACGGTGAGCGCCGAGCGTATCGCGCGCAACACGATGTTCCCGTTCTGTGATCGCGTACGGCGTACTGTTATTGAAATCGCGGCGTTGCGAACCGATTGTAAAAACAATACGATGATATCGATACACGCGAATCGAACGCGTTCCGCAGCACGTCGGCATTCGACTGTTGGG